TTTGGAGAGGTTCTTGACAGCCAATTTTCCCAGTGCAGCATGTCTCTTGATTGCTTATTGCTTGTCTGCATTACCGTGGAGAACACTGGGTTCTGTTTTGTTTTGTTATAGTTTGTAGTATAGGCAATATTCTTTGCCAACGCTACAACAATTCAAAGATTTCAGTTCTTTTTTTCTTCAGTCTCCCGTATTCATTGTTTAACTTTCATGCGGATATGAAGCAATTGAAAATAGTGAAGAAGACTTATTAGTAAATTGTTAGTGACTGCCACAGTGGATGCAGGCACAGCAGGGATTGTCAGGATAAGGCATTCTGTTTTACAGAGGGTCTGTTGGTTAATCTGGGTGACCAGTGAATTATCTTTGCTTTTGTCCGACAGACTCATATACTGAGATAAGTGGAAGAAATTAGGCATTTGTTACTTTGAAGGTGAGACAGTGCCAACTTCTAAAATTATTAAGTAATTCATTGAGGGAGCTCTGTTGGCTTAGTGGTAAGTTTACTGCCAACCCGAAGGAATAGGATTCAAATCCCCAAGCTGATCTGAGGGAGAAAAGATGCACTGCCTCTTCCTGTGTGATTGACTGCCTCTGAAAACTCTTTGAAGGGTGAGTATGGATCGGTTCTAAGTCAGTGATTTAGACACAGCAGTGTATTACACAACAGTGATACCCGTATTGTAGGGAGAGGATTAACATTATATAGAGTTGGCATTTGATGGGTCTGGTTGACTCTTAAAATTCTGTGAGAGATTTGGTTTAAGTTTTCATTTAATTTTAATTTTTTGTTAAGAACAATGCTCTTTCTACTTTTCCTTTCATTAAATGCATGTATCCAGCCATCCTGGTAAAACTGTTCTATTTGCTTATACTGCTTGCACTTCTTTGTTGTTCTTTGAGGCACCCCCAGACTCATGGGTGTGCCAACCAGTTCTTCATCATCCCCGTGATCTGTTACAGATAGCATCTGCTACAGAGTGGACACTTGTGATCTGTAGGATCCCTTGTTTGCTTTCAGTGTCTGTGAACTTGGGGTTTCTTGGAGATCTCCAGATGTCAATCTGCCCTTGTGTCTAGGAGGTTTGTAGTACAGGAACTCAGGATCAAAGGACTCATTCTGCTCCTCCTCTGCTCACTTCCCTCTCCTTCGAGCTTTTGTAAGCTAAATGGTGATGGGGCTCAGGCTCATACTCCAGGGTGACTAACTCCCTTTATAAAAGATCAGGTCTGATCGGATTAGGCTGGTTTAGAATTTATCTACTTGAGCCCATTGCTACAGTCACTGTGTCAATCCACAATGGGAAGAGAGGGGCAAAACTCAATCCATGACGTCCTCTGAGCAAAAACTCTTTTCCCTCTTCCTCCCACCTCTGTTGTTGTTAGGTGCTGTTGAGTTGAGTACAACTAACTCATAGTTACCCTGTGAGCAACAGATCTGAACCTTGTACTGTCCTTTGTCATTCTTGTCATCTCCGACACACTTGAGCCTATTGCTGCAATCACTGTGTCACTCCATCCCATTGAAAGTCTTCCTCTCTTCAATTGACCTTTCCAAGCATGATGTCACTTTACAAGGAATAGCTGATCTTAGACATGCCCCAAGTATATGAGATAAAGCTTCACAATCCTTGTGTCCAAGGAGCACTCTGGCTGCACTTTTCCCAAGACATATCTGTTCTTTTGGCAATCCATGGGATATTTCATCCTCTTCTTCCACACCACAACTCAAAGGGATCAGATGGTCTTCTGCCATTTTTATCCACTAACCAGCTTTATTTATATGTATATGTATGTATGTATATGTATATTATTTATATTTATAAAGTGATTGAGCAGACCATGGCCTGAATCAGGCAAACCATAGTCTTCAAATTGACATACTTTCTTCTTAGTAATTTGGAGAGGTCTTTGACAGTGTACTTACCCAATACAATATGTCTCTTTATCTTCTGACTGCTAGTACCAAGGATGTTGATTGTAGATCCATGTAAGATGAAATTATTGACAAATTCAATCTTTTCTCCATCTGTCATCATGTTGCTTATCAGTCCAGTGGTGAGGATATTTGTTTCTTGATGCTGAGCTTCAATCCATATTGAAGGCTGTAGTCCTTGACCAAGCAGCAAGTGCTTCAGGTCCTCCTCAGTTTCAGCAAGCAGGGTTGTGTCATCTGCATAACACAGGTTGTTGGTAAATCTTCCTCCAATCCTGATGCCACATTCCTTTTCCCAGCATCCCGGATGATCTGTTTTGCATATAGATTAAAAAGGTATGGAGACAGAATATATTCCTGGTGGACACCCTTCCTGATTTTGAACCATGCAGTGTCTCCTTGCTCTGTTCTGAGGACTGCCTCTTGGTTCAAGTATAGGTTTCACATAAGCACAATCAAATGTTCTGGGATTCCCATTCTTCTTAGATTCAGCCACAGCTTGTTGTGATCCACACAGTCAAAAGCCTTTGCATAGTTAACGAAGCACTCTTATACTCTGCTTTCTACCAAGATCCATCTAACATTAGCTATAATATCCCTGGTATCATGGCCTCTTCTAAACCCAGCCTGCACATCTGGCAGTTCTCTGTTGATGTGTTGCTTCAGTCATTTTTGTATCATTTTCAGCAGAATCTTGCTTGCATTTGATATTAATGATATTGTTCGATAATTTCCGCACTCTCTCAGGTCAACTTTCTTTGAGATGGAACAAATATAGATCTCTTTCAGTCAGTCGGTCAGATGGCTGTCCTCCAGATTTCTTGGCACAACTTAGAGCTGCCCTGGATGTGCTCATTGTTTGTTGAAATATGTCAGTTGGTATGCCGTCAACTCCTGAGGCTTTATTTTTTGTCAGTTGTTTCAGAGCAGCTTGAACTTCCTCCTTCATCACTGCAGGCTCTTGCTCATATGTTGTTTCAGGAAATTATTCCGTGTCAGCCAATTCCTTCTGGTACAATGACTCTGTATACTCCTTCCATCTTCTTTTAATGCTTCTTGGATCATTTAACATTCTGCCCAAAGTGTCCTTAAGTATTGCCACTCATGGCTTGGATATGTTTTTCAATTCCTTCAGTTAAGAAATGCTGAATGAGTTCGGCCGTTTTGATTTTCTGACTCCAGCTCTTTGCATATTTCATTATAGCATCTTGCTTTGTCATCCTGAGCTGCCCTTTGAAATTTTCTGTTGAGCTCTTTAATTTCTTGACTTCTTTCTTTAGCTTTGGCTTCTCAGCACTTTAATACAATATTCAGAGTCTCATCTGACATCCTTCTTGGTCTTTTCTTCCTCTTCAGCCTCTATAATGATCTTTTTTATTCTTCATGGACGATTTTCTTGGTATCCTCCCAGTGATCATTTGGTCTACGCTCATTGCTGTTCAAGGCCTCAAACCTGTTCCTGAGATGGTTTTGAAATTCGAGTGGGACTTAAGGTCAAATTTTGATTTTCTTTTCTTGAACTTCATCTTGAACTTGCACATGAATAGTTGTTCCACAGTTTTTCCATGAGTGGTCTGTTCCACAGTCAGCACTCAGCCTGGTTTTCACAGCTGATATTGAGCTTTTCCAGTGATTCTTTCCACAGTTGTAATCGATCTGATTCCTATGCATACCATCAGGTGAAATCCATGTGTATAGCTTGCATTTGTGTTTCTTTTAAAAGGTACTTGCAGTGAATAAATCATTGAATGTGCAGAATTTTATCATTCTATCTATCTATCGAGCTACTGATCCTTCTTCCCTGTTCTCAACTTTTGCATTCCAGTCACTCATAATTATCAGTGCATCTTGATTGTATATTCAGTTGATTTCTGACTGCAAAAGTTGGTAGAAATCTTCTATTTCCTCTCTTTGGCTCTATGTTATATTTGAATGATAGTGATAGTCACTGGACTTCCTTGTATGCATATGGTTATAATCCTGTCACCACACTGTATATCATGATAGATCTAGAAATGGTGTTTTTAATTATGAAAACAACCCCATTTTTTTCTCACCTTTTCATCCCCTGCATAGTAGACCATATGATCATCTGATTCAAAGTGTCCCATGCCAAGCCATCTCACTTCGCCAGTGCCTGTTGTTGTTGTTGTTATGTGCCGTCGAGTCATTTGCGACTCATAGCGACCCTATGTACAACAGCCCTAAACCCTGCTCTATCCTGTGCCAATCGCATTGCCTCTGACACACCCATCCCAATTACCCCAGTCACTGAATCAATCTACCTCATAGAGGTTCTTCCCCTCCTGCGCTGTCCCTTTACCATCCCAAGCATGATGTCCCTCTCCAAGGACCTGTCTCTCCTTACAACATGTCCAGTGTCAGACGGAGTCCCAGAATCCTTGCCTCCAAGGAGTAGCCTGTGCCTAGTATGTCAATATTTATGCATTCCATTTCTTTCTTAACAATGTCCAGTTTTCCTACATTTATGCTTCTCACATTCCACTTTCCAGTCACTAGTGTCTGCGTACAGCTGTTCCTCCATTGTGTTTCCATATCTGAGATCTCAGCATCAGTTGCCATGTCTTCTAGTCTAAGTGTGCCCTTTTGTACATGAGTACTTACTGAAATTTTGCAGCGACACTTGTTCTTTTTGGTAGAGTGACTCTGTATTCCTTTCATCTCCCCCCCCCCCCCTTCCTGTTTCTAAAGGTTTTACTGGTAAATGTGCTTTAGAAAAGGATCCTCAGTCATCCCATTTCCAAGTTGGGAATGAAGAGCTGTGTACAGGAGCACATCAAGCAGTGTCAGACTGGGAGGACACTGTCATTTTGTCCACCTTAGTCATAGATCCAGTTATGGCCACAAGGCTTGTCAGCCAGTTGTTCTGCCTTAAACCACACACTGATTTCTTTTTTGACACTTTTTACCAAATTACTGCTGTGATTTGATGATGTTTCTTCCAACTTGAATATACTAGTCCCCAGGAATAGTGCTCGGAATCTACTGGCTTGTCTCTCCAAGCATCACTTGCCTGGTCTTCAGTACGTTCAGCTGATCCCAGACCATGGCCACAGTTGGTCCCCAGTTCATATACTTCACCAGCCACAGGAAGAATGGTCAGTGTGGTGCTTCCTGGCCACAAGGCGGAATCCCTTGTGCTCAAAGTGCTTGCTGATGTTGCCCGCCTAGCCACACTCCTTACTGTCCAGCTTGATAGTGATGGAGTTGCTCTCAGAGATGGTCATGGTGCAGGATGCTGGTGGAGGAGCAGCTGTTAGGCATGTTGGGTGCTCTGAGTGCAGAAGAGACCAAGAGCCTTCCACCTTCTTTTAATGCTTCCTGGATCATTGCTTGGTTTTCTGCATAAAATCTTTCAGTATTGCAACTTGAGACTTGAATTTGTTTTCACTTGTTTGAACTGCAGAAATGCTGAGCAAGTTCTTCCCTTTCTCCCTCAACTCCAGCTTTGCACATTTCCCTGTAATACTTTGTCTTTTGGAGCTGCCCTTCGAATCTTCTGTTCATCTCTTACTTTGTCATTTCTTTCTTTTGTATCCTAAAATGGACCAAACATGCAGTCAAGATCCGCTAGTAATTATTGATACCTGGAATGTCCAAGTTGAAAACAGTGAGGAAGTGATGAAGTCTGAAAGTGTGGTCTTGGTGACAGAAATGAGTCTGGACATCAGATAATTGAATTTTGTATTTTAAATGATTTATTCATCACAAATCAAACAGCAGTTTTAACGGGAACCTCATCCAGTGAATTGCACAGGAAATAAATTGACTACATCTATCTGTGGGGCAGGGCCAGGCAGGGAGGGAAGAACTCATTGGAGAAGCCAGATACTAACTATACTGACTGTGGAACAGATCATCAATTACACATGTTCAAATTCAAATTGAAGCTAAAGAAAGTTAAAACAAGTCCATAAGAACCAAAATACAACCTTGAGTCAATCCTAACAATTTAAAAATCATCTTTAGTATAGGTTCGAAGACTGGGTGAGTTATGGGATGACATCAAAGATACCATCATCCGTGGAGAGAGCACAAGGTCATTAGGAAGACAGAGGAGGAATAAAAGACCAAAATGGTTGTGGGAACATTGCACAAGAGCATTGAGAAGCCCACGGCTAGTAACCATTAATATCTTTTGTTCCTACTCTGCATCTTTTGGGGGAGACCTGGTGGCATAGGGAGCGCCCTGTTAACACAAAGGCAGCGCCTCCTGGAGATTTGGAATCCACCAGGCGCAGTGGGAGGAAGATGGACAGTCTCCTTCCATGTGATTTACAGCCTCTGGAAACTCCCTGGAGGGCCACTGTCAGTTGGTCCCAACCTGATGGTCATGACGAGTACTCTGACTACTATAACTTTTTAAAGCTTAACTGTACAAAATGAGGTATTACCAGAATCAGTCATTACCCTATTGGTTGTTTTTAGACTCCTTTTATTTATTTATTTATTTATTTATTTTTACTTAAAAGTAATTTTGATCTCTATGCTTTATTTAAAAAATTATCATAATTTGAGTTATTAGATTTTTAAACTTGATTACTGGGTCAAAATGTATAAACATTTTAAAGACTTCATGACTGACAAATTGGTTCCCGGGGCAAATAGCAGGTATTTGCAATAGGACAATGTCTGTCTGATGTATATGCCCCCAGTCAATAGATAAATTTAATAAGCCAAAGATTACTTTGTTTAAATGTGCATTTCTCCGGTTTCTAGAGAGGTTGACTATTTCCTTTCTGGTGATTTTCTTTCTGACCATTCTCTGTTGAACAGGATTTGACGGCTTTCTTATAAATTAGAAACATTAACTCTCAGTCACTCACTCATCTGTTGTAAATATGTACTTTTAGCTTGCTTGCCTGTTAAATATTTAGTCACAGTTTTTGTTTATTCAGATCTGTGGTTTCTTTCATGTGTTCTTCGAAGGTTGAAGTCCTCTGTTGTCCTGTTATTCCTAGTTTTTCAAGCATGTACACTTTAAAAATTCCTGTTTTCTCTTTCTGTGTTTCTATGTGTACACACACACAAGAATAAACAAAGGGCACTTAGTTATCATTTCTTTATAATAATTGTATGTGCAGTGTGTTTGTATGGATATACCTTGACCCTGAGGGTAAACTTTTTATCTCGTTTCTAGCTATTTGTAATAACTACTTATTAAAGATAGTTGTACAGGAATTATCTTTCTATATAAAATCTCTGCTTCCTTATTGATTATGGAAGTGGAATTACTATTTACAGTACCAGTTGATTCTGCTCAGGGCAATCCTTTGTGTATCAAAGTAGAACTGTGCCCCGCAGACTTTGCAGTGACTGGCTTTGCAGAAGCAGTTTGTCATCTCTTCATTCTTTGACAACTCTGGGTGGGTTCAAACTAGCAATCTTTCAGGTTTCAGGTGATAACCACTGCCACCAGCCACTCAGGAACTCCAGAAGTGCAGTGATAAAAAAATTGTGAACTGCCAAATTGCCTTCTGCAGATCTTGAGAATGCTCTCACTTGAGGAGAGGCATTACTGTCAAAATACACAGTTGTTGTTGTTGTTGTGTTGTTATATGTTGTCAAGCCAACTAAGACTCAGCGACCCAAGAACAACTCAGAACCTTGCCGTATCCTGAGCACCTCTCCTGTCTCCGATACCCCGTCCCCATTACTGCAGTCACTGTTGATCCATCTCCTATATGGCCTTTCTCCCCTGAACTGACCCTCCACCCTTCCAGGCATGATGCCCTTCTTCTAGGACTGTCCCCTCCTAACAGCATACCCAAAGTATATGAAATGGGGTTTCAAAATATTAAACATCATTTTGTATGTGCATGGATCATTTATTTGTAATTTTCTGTGGATTTCCTGTTTGTGACTTTTGCTTATGTTATGACCTTTCCTACTGATTTATAAGAACTCTGTATATTAAAGGAACATGCTCTTTGCAATCATTTGTTACGCATCAGAGAGTTGGACAATGACTAGGGAGGATAGATGACGCCTTTGAACTGTGGTGCTGGAGAAGAGTATTGAATGTTCCATGGACAGCCAAGAAAACAAACAGATCCATCCTAGAGAGAGTTAAACCAGGAAGTTCTTGGAGGCAAGGATTCTGGGGCTTCGTCTGACATACTTTGGACATGTTGTAAGGAGGACAGGTCCTTGGAGAGGGACATCATGCTTGGGAGGGTAGAGGGACAGTGCAGGAGGGGAAGACCCTCTATGAGGTGGATTGATTCAGTGACTGGGGTAATCGGGATGGGTGTGTCAGGCTATGCGATTGGCACAGGATAAAGTAGAGTTTAGGGCGGTTGTACATATGGTCGCTATGAGTCGCAAACGACTCAGTGGCATATAACAACAACAACAACAACAGTCTTTTGACATAAGTTTTGTAAATCTTGTCCTTTAGTGATAATATAGTTGGATTGTACAATCAGGTTTTAAATTTTATCTCAACAGATTCATCTTTTTCTGTGTGACTTCTGGGAGCATTAATCTTTGGCTTTTTTCAGTCTGCTTAGAGAAAGGTAGTTTAAAAAATTATTTGTCTTTTTGTGCTTGCTTCGGCAGCATATGTACTAAAATTGGAACGATCTAGAGAAGATTAGCATGGCCCCTGCACAAGGATGACATGCAAATACGTGAAGCATTCCATATTTTTGTGAAATAAATTCTTTTCCTTTTTCTATGGTGCTGTTAATAGTTTTTAGCTTGGAAAGAAGTTTGAAGATGAGTGCCCTTAAATTGCTCTTAAGGAACACATCTTGTTTTCTTTAATTGTAGTTTATCTAGATTTCTTTTTATTTAGCTAAAATTTTTAACACTGGCAAGAAATACTTAAAAAGAAGTATCTTTTACAATTTGGATTATGCACTCTATTTTTGTCTAAATGCCAGTAATTTAGAAATAGAAAACTAATGAAATGATTTCCCCAGATACAGGTCTAGATGTAGAATGGGTTTCCTCTTCATTTTCAAGCCCCTTTGACACATTTGCTACATTAGGAAGGAGAGAAGGCTGTGTACCAGTCATGCACTTACAAACAGCCAAAGGGCATAATCAACCCAAGTATAATTTTGCGCTGTGAAGTGTTTATTTTTGGATACTACACGGGGGCTGTTTTAAGGAAGGAGACTCTAATAGAAGTCTATTTGGGGCTTGTAGGGGATGGAGATAGATTTTAATGGGAAGTGTACTAGACAGCATTCCTACCTTTTAGTATTGTTTTCTATCCAAGTTTTAAATAGGATTCTCTTGGAATTCTTTTTTTAATTTATACAGCTGCCACTGTACTGTTCTTGTCTGTAGCCATGGGAACATAAGTAGGATGACATGAGTTTATAACTTGTTGCTAGGCAGATAAAGCTTGGAATGTATTAAAAATCTTCTCATTAAAAAAAGCTCTTGAATGTTTTACCTTTTGTGGGTGAAGATAACTAACTAAACAGGGTAGTTTGGAATTAAAGCTGTGAAGATTGTATAGACCTTTTCTAGTAGAAGGCACTAGTCATGTGTTTCATTAAGAGAATGCTTGTAATGGAAGAAAATGAATTGAAATATTTGATCTGCGTCTTAGCCTATCCTTGGGTTTAAAAAGTTAGCATTCAGATATACAGCCAGTGTGCTCTTTGGAGGCAAGAATGATGACGCTTCATCTCACATACTTTGGGCATGTTTCTAGGCGAGGCTATTCCTTGGAGAGGGACATGATGCTGGGAAGGATGGAGGGTCAGTGACGGAGAGGAAGACCCTTGACCAGGTTGATTGATGCAGTGATTGCTACAATGGGCTCTAGTGTGTCAGGACGTGTGAGGGTGGCACAGGACGAGAGAGTGTTCAGAGCTGTTCGTAGGGTTGCCATGAATCATACTCAATGGCACCTAACAGTGTGCCAGCTACAGGGCTAAGTATTGAACATGATAATGTTAGGAGGCCTTTAATTAATGTTAACTGCATTTTACTGATGGAGCTCTGGTGGTCATTTTACTTAGAAAGAAACAGGTTTCGGGGGAGCTCTGGTGGCCTAGTGGCAAGGAGCTGTAACTACAATCCCAGAGGCGCACGGTTCGAATCCACCAGATGCTCTGCTGAGGAAAGAGGGACAATC